GAATATGCAAATATTGCTCAAAGTCTAGCGCCACAATAGGCTGTAAAATATGCAAGAAATATTTTCATATAACTTGTGGCCATCTTAACGAATGTTTATTTCAATTTGTGGGAGAATTTAATTCATATTGCCACGCTTGTCTGCCTTTAAATGATTACCAACAACAATTGATGAATTCCAAATGTTCCGGCGATCATGCTGTGTGTTTTATCTGCACTAAGCGTATGTACAATTATCATCCTAAAAATTGGATTTATGCCGAGTGCTGTAAAAATGGGTTTGTTCACAACTTATGCATGCAAAAATACGCCTTAAGCGCTGGCTACTATTTGAAATGCATTTGGTGTAAGAGCGGGGAATTTCGAGATGCGGTAAAGCTGCAGGGCATATTTGTGCCGGATCGTGATGCAAAGTGGGAGCTTGAGCCGAATGCCTACAGAGATTTGCATTGCGGCTACAATCGTTGTGACATGACAAAATGCAATTGTCCTAGAGGGCGTGAATACGTTGAATATATAGAAGGACGTAAGTGGTTTTTGACCGTATGCAAGCTTTGTGGCTCCTTTGGTGCTCATAATCCGACTTGCATACCGGGATTTGAAAATTCCAAAGAAAAGGTTGAAGACTTCAAATGCGATAGGTGCTTGACAATCGAACATTCTCTTTGCTTATCGCCTAAAGCAGAAAAAAGTATTAATGGATTGTTTGATGCGAGTCTTTATATAAGCAAAGCTCAAATTAACCCACCATCACCATTTTTGCTACATGGAAATTCAGAATTTTCAGACGATAGTACGTCTTCGATGGTTACGGTTATATTCTCTCAAAACAACAACAATGGAAAAAGCGTTCCTGATGAAGTAACAGACACAAATGGTTTAGTTGAGAACATTGACGAACCTGTGCAGGCTTTAACTTCAGGCATGGATCGACTCTGTTGCGACCCCAATGATGATGAGAATGTCCATCTAGATATTGATGAAGTGCAATCAGATGACGAATTCTTAATTTTAGATATGTACGAATTCACTGATTCTCTCGATTGCTTGGCCAAAGTTAAGGTTAAAGTAAAACTTAATGATGCACGTTTTGCTGGCAAAACGTTGGATGAAATAAAATGTAGTAAAAATTTGATTAATGCAGAAGATATTGTTGAGCGCAGTGGCGATCTAAGCATTATAAACGAATTTGATAAAATTATTGATGCTTTGAAATAAAATTTCTCGTTTTGTATAATTTGCATAACTCGTTTCCAAGATAAATATTTAAGCTCTTGTAGCGATCAGACTTGTAAAATGCTTTTTGTATCAAAATTAGACAGTTTAATTTTACGTCACATTTCTGAATTTACGCGAAGTGATTTATGCACTCCAGATAATTTTATTCTGGTACAAAGAAACCACTCAACTTACTTTTTTATATAATGGAAACTGACCAGTAATGTTCTTTCTTCTCCAGGATTGAGTAAACGTTTATCATTGTTTCACAGTATACAAGCGTTTTCCATCACAGAAATTATTATTGCAATTATAATTTCTGGCTATCAATTGCTTTCAATAACATGGACATATCCACATTTCCACAGTGTAAATTATTAAAAAAAAATTGCCCATAACTTATTCGATAATTAAATGCGTAATCAGCAATAGAAATAGTATGCGTCCATTTGAAATTTCTCTTCGGTCTTATATATCACCTCTATGTTTATTAGCATTAACATGCTTCTGTCTGTTCAATTATTATTAATTTATTTAATTTTCTTATTTTTAATATAAAAGCATCCCGGCCACTTCGCTTGTTACACCCAATTTCTTTTCAGCTCTCTTCACATTTGCGTATCTAGATAAGCACTTCAAAAAAATTGTTTATAATAACATATACATTACCGTAATATTATTGGATGATTGGCAAAGAATAAAATTATAAATGTAATAAATTTTCATAAAAGTAAAAGTTGTTTTACAAATTCGCAATTATTTTGTATGACATATTTGCAAGGGAAATTGCATGAATCCTTTGGAAAAGAGAGAACCTTCTATTTTTTATTGTGTAAAAAATAGTTATGATTGGACACAAAAGTGGGTAATAAGTTAAGTAATATGTCGAAATTTAAAATTTATCCCTTTCGCCGCTTTGGAAACATTATTTATTTTTTCTCTTTCTGGCTAATTAATAAGATTTTATGGGTTTTCGGAATTCATAACGCAGTTCAAACTATTTATATACTACGTAAAGAACTTTTTTACCTCCAATATGCCTTATCAAAATTATTACTGAAATGTAATAAAATCGAAATAAATGCTTTTTCATTACGGAAACGATGCAAACGCAGACTAATGGAGCAGTTAAGCATCTTAAGATTAAATGACTGTGACATTTATATCCCACTTTATACCTGAGAAAAACATATTTTCAACGCTAATGGAAATCTACTTTTAAAATGGATCCGGCTCTCAAGATTAATTAGAGCTTTGGTTGTGTAAATAACATTAATTTTTTATTGCTTTCGTACTGCGCCAGAGATAGGCGGATTAGGCGCTTTTTGTTGCTCCTTTTTATATAATCTGTCGTTCGATAAGTTCGTGGAATGATATGCAGATACAGTTGGACTATTGAAGGATCCATATGATATTCAATTTTCAAACGGTATGTATTAGTCTTTCATGACTTTGGTTTATAAGTTGCAACAGTTCTAGTGTGGTTACACACGAAATTCAGATTTTTCCATTGTTTTACCAAAACCAAACTGACAATATCTTCACATATGTATATTATTTATATCTTTAACAGGCGACTGTTTCTTAAAGAGTGTTTCTTAAAGTCAAAGCATATTAAAGACACGTATAAATAAAAATATATGAGGACATATTCATTGAATACTAATAAAGCTTTATCGTTACTGAAGTTTCATTAAAAATCAGCGAATAATTTACAACCGTACGAGGGTAAAACTCAGCGAAAGTGAAAAAACCGGAAAAAGTTTATCATTTACTCGAATTTTCGGTTATTAATATTTAACACAAGGAGGGAAATGATCTCTCGCTGCAGCTAAATAATAAAAAGCATTATAGGCGGAGAAGGCCGACCGTTCAATACCCTACACCACATTGTCGAACACAATGCTTATTTTTATTCTAGAAGACAAAAATTACATCTTGCTTCTATATCAAGGCAATTTTTCAAGGGCGTGTTTATGGGCAAGCGGGCCCAAAACGCAAATGCAATGTAGTGCAAAATTAATTCTTACATAGGGCAGGACACAAAAATAGGCGTAGACGGTCCAAAATTTCTACAGGTCATTTTTGTATGAAGTTACTATATTATTATGGGTCAATTTTCACCATCACATATTAAAACTTAGATTTATCTGCTCTAAAAAGGGTCAATTTCCTTGAAAATCCTTATAAGGGATCCGTTTAATTTTTTTATGTTAAATTACTGTTATGGTGTAGTGTTCTTCAAGAACTATTAAAAATTACATCTTGTTGTCGTGTGAAGTTCAGTTTTCGCTATAGTTGCGAGTTGAAAAATTGCCACAGCCGTTATAAAGTTTTCACTAAATTAAAAAAAGAAAAAAAATCAATGGCCCGAGTTGCGATCTCTACTTTTAGTAGATTTTCATAATCTAATTTTAAAGTTATGATGGTAGCTATCAGAGAGAGCTAATAAGAAGCGAAGCAAAAATTATTCTCAAAATAGAAACCAATGTACATCGTAATGTTTGTTGATGCAACGGAAATCGCTATTTGACTACTTGCCACCTAACCCTACTGAAAGCTTTCGTAAAAACATTTTCACGGAACCAAAAGCTAAAAAAAAAAGAATACGAAAAAATTGTGTGGGTGTTTTTCTGGGTTGTCATATTTTCTAACCCACTGAATGTGCGTACGTAGATAGCAACCATTTTTACCCCATTAGTTCTTAATCGATTAAAGAATATTTACGCCGAACTTCACCTTCTGATCTTCATATTTCCGTCTATGGCGATTTAATAAAAAAAACGGGATCAAAATGATGAAAAGAGGATTGAAATCCAATACTTGGGCAGTTCTAGTGGTAAGCAACAAAGTAAAAGGTTATAAATAAAAAATGTAATTTTACGATACCGATCTGGCCAATCAACTGCTGCTTTCTTTTTTCCCCGACATAAGTTACGGCAAACAAGGCAATGAGAAGTAAAGGTACTACGGGGGCCACCAATCAGGCGGGTATGTAGTACCGATGAAAATCTTCATTTTAGTTTTGAATCACCGACGATCGTTGAGTCGCGGGTACAAATCTCAGATGCGGTTGAATTTTACAGAAAGCCGATAGCCTAAGAAGCTAGAGCTTTAGGGCTTTAGAATTTATTTCCCCGGCTAAATTAATAATAATACTAATAATAAT